TTTTAAAAATTTGCTTGAAAGATAAATACATAAAGAGCATAGAGTGGTTATCTTCTTATTTAAAAACAAATAAACAAACCCATTCAAAGGGTTTTTGTATTTTGTATCATCTTTTACCTCCAGCATGTTTTATTTATGTAACACTTATTCTATTTATAAACCTGCAAGGCTCTGTCCTGAGCTATATCCAGTACACGGCCAGGATAAAGACATAAGCAGGCTGGCGCGTTAAATTTATAAATGTCAAAAAGCCAGGAAGGGAAGCTAATCCCTTGGATGACAGAATCATGATTCAAGAAGATCTCAACAAGTTTTAACTATGGCTATATTCAAAGAGGTGGTTGTGAAAGGGTTAAAGGCACATACTGCTGCAAAAACACCATGTACGTAGATATACAGAATGGGAGAAATCTTCAACACAAAAAGATGCTGGTTTATGTTGACTGTATCAGTGGTTTCCAGACAAATTTTTCAAAAAAACCCCACAAAACAAACCAAAAAAACCGAAAGAGAAACAACATAAGGCTGCTAACTCTTTATTGTTTATTTAAGAACACTAAAACAGAACAAAAAAATCCAACACAAATATCCAAAGAAACTTAGCACACACACAATCATTTGATGTAGAAAGGTCACTTTAACATCAGAGAAGTAGAAACACAGAATTTCAAAAAAAAATAAATAAACCCTTGAATTGCATATATATAACCTGAAAAGCTAACATTTTTCTCCCCTTTTTCCTGTTATTCAAGAGTTAACACAATTTTAGACTGTAAACACACATGCATTGCTTAAACAAGGAATAACTTCACTATACCACATCCAGGCCATCACTGAAGAATTAAACGTGGAAACCAGATCAGAAGAAAACAGCAAAACTGACTGAATCCAGTTGACAGGGATGAGAAAGGTAAAGGAAACTATACCGTATGAAGTTTTCGGGGCTGTGACATTTAAGTTAGAAAAGGGAAAACCTAGCAAGGACCCGGTATGTCGAGGAAAACCTTGCTGTGTCTCACTCTTAAAGACAGCCACTGGGAAGTCACGTGATGTAGAGCAGAGCAGATACAAGGGCAATGTAAGTTAAGATCTTCCTACACTTTTCAAATGCTAAGTGAGCCGGCCTATGCCCATTTTTTTTTTCATGGAAGCGTTGTTTATGGAGAAGCTGGATTCAATAACATCTCAAGGATATTAGTAATAGGTATGACAGAGCTTCTAAAGTCTCCTCTAATTCTAAAATTTGGTGAATCAGAGGGAATGTATGTTGCCCTTTGAACCTACTACAAAAGACGAGCAGGAAGAATTTTGGCTTTCATCAAAAAGACGAAGGTTCCATGATGGGCTCTTCCACTTAGAAATGTGTGAGCCAAAACTATCCCCTAACTCTGGGCCGCAGCTGCTCTCAACTTCAAATGTAGAAAATAGTGTCTTATTTACCAGACTGTTGCCTGGATCACACCCACACTGCCTGGCACTTAGTAGGTGCTTAACGCATGGTAGACATTATTCATTTATTTAATAAACATCATGTACCAAAGGAGAACATTTCCTATACCAGTTATTGATTATTGTTACACTCAAATATGGACTTCTCTGCTGTAACTCGTTCTGGTTTTTCAAACTTAATTCATGCTTGGTATTCTTTTCCAATTCTATGCTCTGCACAATCCCTATTTGCACGTTAGTAATTTTTAAAAAGTTTTCTTTAACTTTACTTTGGCTAGTTTCCTGTCTGTTTTTGTTTGACATAAAAGTGGGCTTTACCTTCAGTACATATTGGCTATTTTAGTCATTTTGCCCCTAAGCAATTTTATAATATACGGTTTGACAATCATTTCAATGAACTAGACTGTATATCCAGTTTAATCAACCTTACCACTAGACATGTTTTCTTATTCTTTTGTATCGCTCACACAGGGCAACTTGTTGCTGAGCACTTCTCTCAAGAAATATGAGTAAATCAACTAAAAACCCATTCCACTGTAGTTCATTGTTAGAAATCTTGATCATTAACAAAAGTTTATGAAATAAAGACAATCTGAGATTTCTCTCTAGAAGAGGAAACCCATTTCGTACTGAAGCACATCAACATTCAATGCTCCAGTCATCGGTATTTATCCAGGGAGCGTTTTTCAGATAGTATGTAATTACTCTTTTGTTACACTTACAACATAATTTGCAACTAAATGGTTACTTTAGTTGGCAATTTAGTATCATGCTGTCTGTAAGGGATTTAATAGGATAGCTTAACACTGCTAGTGTTCCTTATAGACTAAAACATTACCCACTAATTAAAACAGTAAAAATTATTGTTCAGGAATAGATTTTGTTGAATAAAAACCGTGGTGACAACTTTAAACATATACAGTCTCCAGGACTAGATACTAGATGAGTGACATCTGATTACTATCTGATACAATAATAAAACAAGTGTTTTTTTTTTCTCCAGTGACAAAATCAGAAACTCATACTTGGAACATATAAACCAAATCACTATGCACAGACTTTTTAGAAGCACCCTGATATCTGCATTTATAGGAATAATGTACAATAATTCTATAGTGTAAATTTCACTATTCTAATGCTATGACAAAAAACATGCAGATGGTTATTTACTTCCATACAAAGTAATTTTAGAACACCATGAAATTTACCAGTGAAATACATTTCAAGTATGATTTAATATAATTCCACATACTGATTATGGTTACAGATTATGTTCAAGTAAGTTTAAATTCAAAAGAACCATTAGTTTTAAAAATCTATTAAGTGCAACGCAGAACTTAAGGGTAAAAATTATAAAGTGACAAAAAAGTACTTTATGGCAATATCAACTCAATACAAAGCATAAGTTTACTTTTGATGAAAAGTTCAACACAAATTTTTTCCTGAAAAGGTAAATTTTTGTTTACAATAATTCATTAACTGAATGGACTTCACAGGCTCTTGTTCCTTGGCAATTCTATTGTTAACAGTTTATAGACTTGCTCATAACATAAAGTACTACTGAATATCACAAAACATTAAAATACAGATACTAATAAATAGTAAGGGGAAAATTCCAAGTTCCTGTTTTTATGAAACGCCCACGTCGTAGTATCTTTCCCTACATCACTAATTTATGAAACTAAAGTCCCACTGCAGTGGAATTATTATTTTTACATTACAAAGGGTCCGAGTAATACAACCGGGTACCAGTGAACTTGACTGTCACAGACCACGCAGCCTGTAGAGAAGCTTTCCGTCCATGTTCACAGGGCAGGGGACTAAGGGACACAGTGGACAGAGCCTCTGCAGGGCAGACCTTGGTTTTAGTTGGCTCTGCCTTTCATTAGCAGTTTGGCTTAGTAGACAAATCAGTTAACTGTCCAAATTTTAGTGCCCTCCTCTGTCAGGTGCACTTGAACTCTTCGGTTTTAAAACAGCAAAATTAAACAACATCTATAAAGTTAGTGGGAAGTACAAGCAGCCCTAGTGTAAGTTTAAAAAAAGAAAAAAACAATGGCACAATGGCAGAAAAATACAAGATGGTCTGTAACTTGCAGTGCAGTATTTCCAGGGCCGAATTCCTAGGTCTCGGGAGCGCCCCCAGGCAGGACCTCAGCAGGGACGTCCCAGGCCCCGAGCCCACCACGCACCTCCCTCTCACATCGTCCCCACCTGCTCCTCCCCGTCCCGCTGCACTCTCTCCCGCTGGCTCCGACGCCGGCACACGGTCGGACGCACCGCAAGGTCTGAACGATCAAACCATTTTAAAAGATACACTTTCAATGTATCTTCTGCTGCAGCACATTTCCCTCACATGGGAGTGAATTTTCATAAAGAGGAGACAAATATGAATAAACAAATTCGTAAATAGAAATGCACCAGGCCTATTTTTTTTTTTGTTTGCTTTGATTGCTTAAAAAAGAAAAAAGAAAAAAAAAAAAGAGCGAGCTGTACCCTAATCTGTTCCCTTGGGAGCGCGAACGCGTTCCCCGCCCGATGAAGAAGAAACAATTCCGCGGCTTCATCTCCCGGCCACACAATAGCTCCGCCGTCGGCCCTCCCCGCCCAGTCCGCACCGCCATCCCGTCATTTTCCATCGATCACCGCGCCGACGCCCGCACAGGCACTGCCCCGGTCCTGCAGGAGCTGACATTCTCCCATTTAATGAATCCAACTGCACCGGACACCAAGGAAACAGAGATCCTGTGACTTAGTATCCAAAGCCCTCGTCTTCCCGCCCAGCCTTCGGTCAGCTGCTAAGATTTCTCCCCCCCCCCGCCCCCCCCCCACCCCGGGTAATGAAATGAAGGCAACTATCCAAACCCAGAATTTGAATCTCGGGACAATGAAGCCGGCAGGAAGCCACGCTCTCCTCCCCGGGGTTTTCACTACGGAGCCAGAGCCTGCGCGGGGTGCAGCCGCCCGGCAGGGTGCGTGACACCACGGCTCCCACGCCCTCCACGCGCGTCCGCAAGGCCCCTCGCTGACCTCGCGCCAACCGCCCCCCGTCCCAGAAGCAACCACAAAGAGGGATCGGGACTGCCGGCGGCTCCGATCCGGGAGGAACCGCGTCCCGCCGGCGGCGGCGGCGGCGGCGGCGGCGGCGGCGGCGGCGGCGGCGCAGCCATTCCCTGCGAGGCTCCGCCCGCGCCCCTCGCGCTGCCACGGCGGAGGGGGAGGGCCGCACAAAGCCCGGAGCGAGCTGAAACGATTCCATCCGTTCCGGGAACGAGGCGGCGGCGGCGGCACCGGAGGGCCGGCGGGCGGGTGGGTCGGGTTGGAGGGGCGGCCCCGCCGAGTCCCGGATCCGGTGCGTGGGGGTGGCGGCGCCGCGCGGAGCATCCGGGAAGCGCCCCCTCGCCTCCCGGCCCTGCACCCCCCGCCCCGCCGCGGGCCGCGGCCGGAGCCCCGGCTGCGATCCCAAGGAAGAGCATGTGGAAGAGCGGCGGCGGCGGCGGCGGCGGCCACACCGGCAGCGCCTAACCCCAGCGATTGAGCGCATCACTTACCCCTCACCGCTGAGAGCGGGACCGGACGGGAAAGGCGGGGCGCGTTGCGTCCCGCGAGTCTCTGGCACGCCGTCCTCCCCCACCCCCACCCTGTCGTTGTCGTCCTCGTCGTCGCTGTCGCTGCGATCGAGCTCCCGGCCTCTCAGCTCCGCTGGGCAATACGTTATTCCACACACGCCCCACACATAGCGGTAACGGCAAAGAGCGGCCGCCTAGTGCGCAGGCGCTTGGGAAAAGGGCGAGGAGCCCGGCCCTATCCCCTTCTCCGGCTCAGATCCAACGATCTCTTACTGCGCAGGCGCCAAAAGCAGACAATGAAAAGGGGTTGTGCAGAGGGTCTCAACCCCTGGCTTTTCCAGCTGCCTACTGCGCAGGCGTACCTCACAGACCAACTTGAACAATGAAGAGGACCCCAGGATTAGCAGGGACCGCAACTGACAGGGACTACAATTCCCAGCGGGCAGTGCGCCAAATCCAAGTGGAGGTCGGGTTGCTGGGCATGCTAGGATTTGTAGTGTCAGTTGTCATTCACACTCAGCTTTTTGGAAGGTTTAGAACTTCTTTTTCTTGCTTATTTGGCCGTTTTGACAAATGTCGTGGCTGAAGAGTGTAGAGCTTATTTGCATCCTTGACAAGCTTCAAGGATCGGATGCTTACTAGCAGATTTGGAAGGGTCAAGGCCTTCAGTGAGCCCTTTCTGTCAGTTGGGTGGTCCAAACAGCAGGATGGGTTGAAGGCAGGACTAAGCCAGGAAAAGGGCGGAGCCTCCATGCAGTTTCTTGGCAACCGGATCTGGCAACCAAACGGCAGAAGCCTGCGCTCGGAGCGCGGTGCCCTCTGGGAATTGTAGTGTTGTTGGAAGGGCTCTCAGGAACATCAAGGCTGCAAATCCGAGTCTGTGAACCACAAGTCCCATCATACACCAGGAGGGCCGGTGGGTGGGAAGAGCTCCTGCGAGCGCGGTCCAGGGTTCCTGACTCCCCATTGACAGCAGCAACAGGAAGGTGGTGGGTTCTGCCTGGGCGCTAAGGCCTCCTGTTCTAGGAGGGGAGACCACTGGACAGTGTGTCACCTAACTCCCATCTCTAGGTCCCGAGTGTGTGCATGGCGAAGTCCCCGGAGAACTCTACCCTGGAGGAGATTCTGGGGCAATACCAACGGAGTCTCCGGGGTGAGTTACTCCAAACCCCTGTGCCATAGCCCCTTGGTACCAGGGTCTAGTGGGCGGGAGATGGCAAGGTGCCTTTCTTAATGCCTTGGATCGGCCCCAGCCGGGATGCGGAGGAAGAAGATGGATGTTTTTGATGAAGGATGGAGTAGTTTTGTTTGTTTTTACTATTAACCAGTGGCGTTTCCATTGATTCCCTTGGTTACCTTAACCAACTCTGATCTTAACATAGATGTCTTTCTCATACTGCGCCCGCAGAAACTTTTGGATGGCTCTATGCCACTTTTGCACAGTTCTCCTACTTCGCTCTTTAGCCCAATAAGTTCCTGATTCATGCTTTTTACACATTCAAATTATGGTATAATGGATTGGATGGGATTTATTGGACCAGGAGAAAAAAACAGCACTAATAATTAATTTAATCACAACAGCTATATTTAGTGATCTGGGCTATTTACATACATTAAATCATTTAAAACTTCAAACAACCTTATGAATATTCCTATTTTACACACAGGGGAGTGGAGGTGTAAAGACATTAAGTGAGGACAAACCCCACACAGGCACAGTCAGATATTAAATTTTAAAAGCTAATGTGTTTCTTTATTAATCATGTCACAATTACTATGACTGAAACCTTAGTTAATTCAGATTTTTTTCGCAGAGTACTCTGTGAGTGAATATGTATAGAAATGAAGTTCCTACTTGTAGAGAGTTCTGTCTTCTTGGATATCGTACATAACATCTAGAAACCTCAATTCTGTTCTTTTAAAGTGGAAGTTATGGTGTCGTATACAGGGTTGTTGTGAGGAGCAAATGAAATAATCCATGTAAAGCAATAATTTTCAGACTTTTTTTTCTGTTCATCAGAAGTACATTTTGTATGGAGTATATATATATGTATAAACTAAAAGAAAAGCTTCATTAAGGAATATTTCTTCTACTAGATGTAATATGTAATACACTCTATTTTACATTCTGTTGCACTTTCTTAACCCTCTACCACGACCAACCATTTAAAAAAATTATTCAAAGTGCATAGAATGCTGACTCATATATTAATTGAGTGCCTGTGTGTTAGGCATACTAGGTGCTGGAGATACAATGAGAAACTAGATAAAGTCCCTGTCCCCTTGGAGCCTCTGGATTAGTGGGGGAGAAAGACAGCAAACAAAATAATTACAGATCGCTCTGGTAGAAATTAAGGGTGAAGATCAGTGTTTGGCACATAAGAAGCACTCATTACATGTTAGCTGCTACTTATAATTGGTACTTGCACCAAAGTGAAGATTTTTCAAGGAGATTAGAAAGTTTATTTTCAAGTGACTCGAGACTGTGTAAGAGTTATTGTTTATTGTTCCCATCTGTCAGCAGCGTCAGAGAAAGTGCCAGCATTCAGTATTCAAACTGCAAGAGTCAAATTATTGGTCTTAATGAATGCCTTCATCACCCTGCTAATGTTTCAAGAACTGTTAGATACAGAAATAACCACTTCTAACTTTTCCTTTGAAAGCAAGAAAAATACCGTGCACTGCGATAATATGAGTGATTTTGTTTAATTTTTGAGGTTGGCTAAAAATTGTTGTTTTGCATTGTGTTTCCTATATTTCTCCTTCTTGACCTTGTTTTGAATTTTTATGTAAGTATTAGGGACCATTTAATATTAGGCATTTTGATGCAGTGGTTAATTTCAAACTAATGTTTTCATGCTATGTTTAATACCCATGTTGCTGCTTTTAGTGATTATAATGTGAAGAGTTTTCATTCAAAGCTAATGCATTTTGAAATACATCTTAATTTCAGTGTGCTAATAATATAAGATAGTGAAGACATAATCAAAAGCAGACAAAAAGCAAAGAAACAAGCTCACTTTAAAAAAGTTTTAGTGATTACTTTAATAATGAATCAAGAATGGAACCTGATTTTTTATGGGTTTTCAGGACTTATTTGATTACTTATTTAGAAACATTTTTGTTTTCATGTTTAATTAGTTTATTTGACACCTCATGGAAGGAAACAAAACAGATAATTTTGAAGCAGAGCATAATCAGAGGTTCTTCATGTCATACATATAAATTACCACTTACAAATAGGATAATTCCCCTAAAGTCAAAATTTGTGTTTCTGAATAAACAAAATATAGTGACATTATTATATATGGGGAACTTCATGATTTTGAGTGGCTGTGCTTAATAACTTGAGAATTGTGTTACTATACAATCAGATAAAACATAATTTAAGTTCTTTTGAATTGATTTGTGTTTTTTCTGTTGGCTTATTTGGTTTTGTCTATCTGCCATTACTTCTCCAAAACATCTTACCTAGTTCAGGATTAGAGAAAAAGCTAATAAGAATTCTTGGTTTTCCCTTGCAACTTATTCCTCTGATATCTAAATAACTGTACATGTCATCATTACTAATATCCCCTCCTCTCTATTCAGCCAGAAAGTAGCCACATAAAAATGCAAAATGCTTTCACAGTTTTCCATGCTAGTCCCTCATATTTTCCTCATTTATATGCTTTAAATATCAGTCTGGTATTATTATAGTAAATTAGGAATTTGAAGTTCTGATGTAAAAAGCGCAGTCAGAGTTCCTGCCTTTAAACCTTGAGTGGAAGTCTTGCTCCCTTAACTCCGAGGATCCTGGAACAGCCCTGGAAATAGGGAGTCCATGTGCAGACTCCACCCTTACTTCTCACCCTGTCCCTTGCCCTTTCAGATGTAGTCACTGTTTTTCCCCTCTAAGGATATCTCTGCTTTGGTTTGTCTGGGCCCCCACTGCAAGAAATTGGAAAGGTTTAACGACATTCCTTCAGAGCAAGAGTTTTGGGGACAACTAAACTGCAAGACTTCACTGCCCCACAAAGCTGTGATATCCCTACACTGGAAATGATATGAAATGATATGAAATGATATGAAGTGTAGTAAAAAAAAAAAGTGGCCATAAACCAGGTATCCTGGGAGTCACTGAATTTAATATAGAACTGAAACTGCCTTGGGAGGTCTCCTGGCAGTGTGCTTAGGGTTCATTCACCCTATAGACAACTATTATTCAAGACCCACAGAATGGCTGAGAACTATATCGGTCACTGGGGAGAAGAGCAAAGACCTCTCTTCTCATTTAAATTCAACACATTGTACAAGACCATGAAGTATAAAATAAACTAGTCTGTAGCTAAGAAAGGGTAAGAAAAAGCAGAATCATGGGCATCCCAGGCTGTTTTAAGTACACTTGAATGTAGGGGTATGATATTAGAAAGAAGGGAAGAACTTACTAGGAATGCAGTGTCCCGGCCTCAGTAACAGAATCACGTCTGATCTGTTGCTGTGGTGTTAGCTAAGGGCACGTTTCATCAGCGCCTGTGTACGTGACTCATTTATTCACCTGGTTCCCGGCCTCCCCTGGCCGGGTGCACGTAAAGAAGCATGGAACAGATTTTCATAGCGATAGGAATATGTCATTTATTTTCTATGTACACTACATATGCTCGCTCCCCTTTCTATTGCACCATTTTGGTGTTTCAAGCTCTAGACTGAATTCGTGGAAGAGTACAATGAAGTCAGAGGAGGAGAATGTGGCCCTAGGAGCCAGCTCACCATCTCTTACAGTTGCTTTGCTGATGCCCATCTGTCACCTTAGGCAAGTTAATCAACCATTCCTGGATTCTTCGTCTTCATCTATAAAATAAAATTGGAACTAGATTTGAAAATTACTGCCCTTAGGAGCCAGACAGATGACAGAATGTGTGATGGAGTCAATGGAAGACATGAGGGAATGGTGAGGCTTATGGCAGAGCTGGGCAGATGATACTTTCTCTAAAAACAATCCAGTTTCCCTCTTGCTTTCCTCCTCTTTCCTTCCTTCTCTTCCCTTTTTCCTTCCCCTTCCTCCCACACTGTTCTGGCCAAACAAAACACACGTGGGAGCCCGATTCCCACTCCAGGCACCCCTCAGACCCCCAGATCTCTAATGTTCCTCCCATCAGCACTGGGCTGGACCATGTGCATGACAACAGCTCTGTTTCTCTCCAGTGAAAATAAGAGTAAAGAGGGACTTCCAGCTAAGGTGGAGGCGTAGGTAGATACACTGTGCCTCCTTGCACAACCAGAAGAAGGACAACAACAAATTTAAAGACAAAAAAACAACCAGAACTGACAGAAGATGGAACTGTAT